GGGAAAGAGGAAAAGAGAAAAAGAGGAAGCAGAAACACCGATTTCTTTTTTGTAAGACAGTTTAAGTTTACAAAACACTGCCACACCCAACAGCACTGGCCAGGGGCCACAGCAAGCATCAAGGCCATTTTGCAGAAGAAGAGACTGGAGCTCAGAAAAGTTCAGGAAGTGATGCAGCTGAGACTCCAATCCAAGCCTTATGACTCTGCAGCCCATGTGTTTTGTTTCGTTTTCTTTTTTGTTTCTGTGGTTGTTTTTACTAGCCAAGGCTACCTGTCTCTTAAGAGAAGGAGATGGAAGACAAGAGGAAAGAGGAGTCAGAGAAGGAAAGCCAGAGGGCTGGGCAGATACCTCCTTTAGATTCAAAGTTGGGGATGCCGTGCATGATCACATGGTGCAGAAATAAAGGTTTGTTGTTCATCTTGATGGAGCCGGAGAGCAGGCCACTGAAGTAATGCACGTACCTGTGATGGGGGAAGGAGCAGCTTCAGGGAGGCAGGCCTTTGCTGGTGGTCGTCCCTGTTCACTCTTCTCCAAGAACACTGACCCAACAACGTGCCCCACCCCACCACACACCCCTGACCTCCAGGCCCCTGAGGTCTCCACCCCAGGACACACCTCCCTCGCTACTTGGAGCCCCAGGTAGAGAGAGCAACCAGGTACCACCAGACCTGGAGCTGGGACAAACCACGCATCCCACTTGGAATTCTTCTGCGCCCCCTGGTGGTCAGCATGGACATCTCATTCCTGCTTCACGTCCAGCCCAAGAATCTCCAGCTGGACCAAAACGCTTCCACATCCCTGACAGGCATTATGTAGCTGCTCACTACTGCACAAGGCAGGCTCAACCATCAAACAGCGCTGACACCCTGACACCGAGCCCAAAGCAAGCTTATGCTTTATACTTGCAGCCCACAGACCCACCAGCCACGTGATAGACCAGGAAATAGTGATAGTTCTTTCTTTAAATCACACTAAAGTGCACCAAGTCCCTCTGTGTCAATTATTTCATTCATTAATTGAGAAAACTAGCTTCCAATATGTATCCTTATCTCTAGGGTCAACAATTCTCAATTCTTTAGCGAAGATCTGTAGGAAGAATGGAAGGATTCGCCCACATCCTCTCCTTCTAGACAGAGAGGGAAAATAAGGTCCAGAAAGGGTCACTGAACTCCAGACGCACAGCAAGAACACAGAGCCAGGAGTGAGTGGGGGGAGAAGGAAAGAAGTTTGGACTCCAAGGCAGCTAATAAACTAGAGGTCAATCCTCTGCCTCTGATTGGCCGGCACTTCCTCCTTTTCTGAGTCAGCTAGACCAATCAGAATGCATCCTGAGGCTCTGAAGCAGCCAATTGGAGCTCTTTGAGGAGGGTGGGATCAGAACTTGCAGGACCATGACAACTCTCTCCTCGGGTTTCTGGGCTCCTTGGCCCACCTCCAGGCCTGTAAGCCTCTGCCCCAGGGGCTGGGTGGGGTCTCCTCAGACTACTCAAGAAAGATAATCTGATGGGCAGCGCCCACTCCTATTCAGGCCCCTGCCCCGCCCCCAGCCCCGTTAAGCAAGCCGGAAACCTGGAATGGCAGTTCCTATCAGATCTCCTGATCGAGCCAACAGGATGTGTCTGTGTGCTGGGGACAATAAGTCCGGGGGCGGGTGACAATGAATGGGGGAGCTACAGGCAAAGCTCCTCCCTCTCTCCCTCCCTGCCCTCCTCTCTTCCAACTGCAAGTGACACTGACAAGAAGGCGGGAAAATGGCAAGGAATACATAATGAACCCAACAGTTACACTTTCACATCTGGGCACAGAGAGAGTGACCCACCCACAAGCAGATGTGGTGGCAGATATGAGTTGCCAGACAGACACAGATAAAATTACATGCACACACACACACACACACACACACACACACACAGAGAGAGAGAGAGAGAGAGAGAGAGATACAGCCCAACTGCGTGCTGTGTAAGCACGTACTTAACACCATGAAATCCCTGGATAATCCTATTCCTGAAAGGTAATACGATTCCCAGTCTCTAAGCTCTCACTGCTCCACTTCAGAGGTGTGTCTGCTCTTCCCGCTTTCTCCAGACCACACCGTGCCATCATAGTAGCCTGTTTCTCTGCCAGCATCCCTATTCTTCAAAATCAGGGGCCACACCATGACCAGGATCAGCGAGCCAGAGACTGAGAACCAGGTATCTTGACCAATAGTTACTTTCCCCCTGGGAAGACTCATTGATCCACAGCTACTGTGTCCAGGGGCCTAAGCAGCATTTTCTGCCCCAAAAGACATCTGGTTTCTGATCACCGACCCAGAGGCTGGCCATCAGTTTTTTTGTATGGTGATAGGTTCTAAGGTGCTAAGTGGCAAGGTGTTAAGTAGTAAGGTGCTACCTTGCCTGAGCTTCTGCTTGGGCTTCCCACTACAATGGTGGAAACAGTCCTCAGCAGGGATAGCACACTTCTGTCAGTCAAGCAAGGGGGCAGGGTGATGGGGTGTGTGTTGGGACCCTCAGCATGATCTGAAAGGCTCCAGGACCTGCAGCGATGGGGTCTGGTTGGCCCCGTCGGTGTGTCCAAGGGCTAAAAGAGCAAATGGGCTGCTTTGGCCTCCAGGTCTTTGCAACTGGTGCTGTTCCCTCTGCCTGGATCCTTGACCCCAGACCTTCACTTCATGCGTCCTTCTCCCCACGCAAATCTCACCTTGCCTGTCACCTTCTCAGAAAGTCCATCCATCTGAATCAACCCTTCTCGCCCACCCATCACTCTCTGGCCATCCTGGCTTGTTTTTGTTTTTTTTTTCTTCATAACTGATCCCTACCTGGAATGATCTTGATTGCTTGTACATGAGCACCATCCACTAGGAGACAAGCCTTGCCTGACAGACTCAGCGCCAGATCCCCAGGGCAGAGAACGGCATTGACACATCCCAGGCAGGCAAAGGCCCACAACTCCTAGCCACAAAAGGAGTCGGGCCTAGTCCCACTCTGTAGATCTCCAGTCTGGGCTTGGGTTTCCCACCATTCTGGCTGCAGCCTACTCAAAGACCACCTGATCCTGATACTGCCCTGTGCCTTCCTGCGCATTAGACATTACTGACCATGTTACCCACAGAGCAGAATCCTTCAGGACAGTGAGTAGAGTAGCACAGCCCAGAGACACTTCTCCAGCCCGCGTGTCACTAGGCCTCCACATACTTCCCATTCTGCCACTACTTTCTATGGACCCCGGTCATATCTCCTTCCTAGGCTAAAGCTTCTCATGTGTAAAATGGGGATGTCCTAGACTGTCATTTGGGAGCTCACTATTATTCCAGTTTGGGCTAAAATCCACCTTCTCTGAGAGGTACTCTCCGACCACCCCCATTAAACAGCCCCCCTCCCATCAGCTCCATCTCTGCAATGCCCTCCCATCAGCTCCATCTCTGCAATGCCCTTTTCTCTCTTTCCCAGCACCAGAACCATCTGACACTGTCTTGTTTGTAAGGTTACTTGCTTGATGTCCATCTCCCAATGGACTATGAGCTCACCAAGGGAAAGGATATGATCTGTTCACCTAGAAACCTCAGCGCTTGTGGCTATCATAGCATTCCTACACCTTGCCCAGTGAATGAATGCATGAAATCATCCCTGCCCTGCTTCCTGCCAGGGCTCTTGTGAGACTCCAATGAGACTACAAGATTGAAAGCTCTCAGTAAAATGTTTTAAAACTCTCCCAATAGAAGGTGACCCTTATCGTGAGTCTCGGTGACCTCCCATGGCAGACGGCAGTGACGTCAGCCTTCCGTAGACTCATCCAAGCACTGAAGCAATCCTGCCACCAGAGCCAAGAATCACACATGACTTCTTGTACAAAGGGCTTCTCACCCCCAGACCATTACTTCCCCACAATGGCCCCACTGCTCTTAGCCCAGCCTCAGAAGCCAACTGCCATACCAACCCGCGGTCACACATCAGCTGGCCCACTCACCTGTGTCCCTGAGCTCATACCACTCCCAGCTGGCACCGGAAAACACGCACCTGGTACACTCCACCTAGGCACCGCCATCCCACCCCTGGTGGGGACACAAGTCTCGTCCCCTTGTATAGTGAGTACACATGTGTGAGTCCTAGACACCCACCTTCTTTGGGATGGTTGGCCAATGGGCACAATCTTATCTTCATAGAACCGCTTCATTGCAAACCGGTCCAGAGCCTGGTCTGCACTGTGGGGAGAGACAGGTGGTCAGAGAAGCCAACTCCCATATCCAAGAGCCCCTCGCCCCCGCCCCTGTCTCTTCCCCAGTCACCCAGTGCTGACACATTTTCAGGAAATGAGCACTCCAGCAACTCTCCATCCTGTGTGGTGCAGCACTCTGAGCTGGGCTTTAGGGCCAGACAACTCGGGAGTCCACATCAGGGCCTTGCTAGCCCTGTGTCTCTGGGCATGCTCCCTCATCTTTGTGAACCTCACTTTCCTTGCCTGTCAAATGAGGGTGGTAACTGCACCTTCCTTGAAGGCCACTGTACAGCTGAGTGAGGGGACACCCGTACAGAGCTTGGCACATGTGGGCACACAGTAGGAGTGCAGGAGTGTTCACCATTAAGCAAAAAAGAGGCTGGGTTGGGTTGTTCAAAGTCCCAAAACTACCGCCAAATGACAAGGCCCCCACAGAACATCCTCCCTGTTCTCACTGAGAGCATTTGGAAACCAAAAGGCAGTTCACCAAGCTCCTCCATTCCTGACTCTCCGGTGACTTTCCATTGCTCTTACAGCAAACTCTAAAGTCCTCAGTAAGGCCCACAAGGCCCCTTGGCTCCGCCACCTTCCAGCTTCCTCTCCTCCTGTTCTTTCCACACTCGCTCAGTTTCAAACATGCCGCCCCGTCGTGTTCCCGCCCTTCCTCTCCTATCAGGGTATGGGCTGAGTCCCAGCCTTCCTATGGCTCAACCCTTCCCATCCATAATCCAGTGGGATCACAGCATCACCTGCTCCAGCATCATCCCGCCAGGGCCTTCTCTGACCACACACCCCTCCTCACCACTGTCTTCCTCTAGTCTCTGTTTTTTCATGGTAATTATCCCCTGCGACACGAATGTGTTTATTTGCTCATTTAACATCTGCCAGGGCAGTGGCCTGGCTAGGCCCTCTGCTCTACTCGTAGCACCTAGAACAGAGCCTGGCACAGTGGCCATTTAGTAATCACTGTTGAATGAATGACAGACGGACAAATAACCCCTGGCCTGCAGAATGGGATCAGAACAGAGGCCGGGTGTGGCGGCTCACACTTGTAATCCCAAGGACTTTGGAAGGCCGAGGCAAGAGGCTTGCCTGAGGCCAGGAGTTCAAGACCAGCCTGGACAACATGACAAGATCTTGTCTCTACAATTAATTAATTAAAAAAAAATTAGTCGGGCATGGTGGTGCTAGTCTGTAGTCACAGCTACTTAGAAGGCTGAGGTGGGCCGGGAGCGGTGGCTCACGCCTATAATCCCAGTACTTTGGGAGGCCGAGGTGAGAGGATTGCCTGATCCCACAGGTGCGAGACCAGCCTGGGCAACTTGGTGAGACCTCATCTCTACAATAAATAAAAATAAAAATAAAAAACCAGAAGGCTGAGGTGGAAGGATCACCTGAGCCTTGCAGGTCGAGGCTGAGGTAGCTGTGAGTGTGCCACTACACTCCAATCTGGGTGACAGATTGAGACTCCAACTCAAAAAAAAAAAAAGTTGAGATCAGAACAGGATTCATCTTCGGCTTGTTCCTTATTCTTGCTCCAAATATCTAGGCGGGAAGAGGGCACTGCTGGCCAGAGGCAGAGGGACAGATGACATGACATAACCTCCAGATGGTTCCACCAGACACAGATCTGATCCAACATTTTGTTTTTGTTTTTTTTTAACTCCCTCCCTGCTCACCCAGGGAAACGGAAGGCAGTTTGGCAAGGAAAAGTGGCCCCAAGAAGCAGGCTGCCTGGGGTGCTCATGGCAGGGCCTGTCTCCCAGAGCTGCCCCCACCAGGCTCCCAGACGGACTCTCCTCTCTCTTGTCCTCTGTCCACAGACTGCTGCCTCAGAGATGTGGGCAGGCACCTTCTCCTCTCCTCTTCTGGGGGCTCCAACACCCATCCTCATTGCCTCTCATCTCCCCTGTCCTTATCCATCCGTCTTCCCGCCCCACCCAGAGAAGAGAAGGAGGGAACACTATGTTCAGAGGATGGGCGGCTTGGGGCCCCTCTCACCTGGCAGAAATGTTGCTGTAGTGCATGTAAGCCGCGATGACAACTCCTATCCTGCCTCGGTTTCCCTGAAAGAGCCCCAAAACACAAAAGCCTTTATTCCTAAGGCCGGCCCTCCTGCCTCAGAGCCCATCCAGAAGGCTTGGTGGAAAAGGGGCAGGGTCTAGAGAGAGGGGTGTGACTCTAAGGGAGAAAGAAGGAGGGCGGGGGACACAGGGGAGGAAAGCAGAGAGAAGCTGAATCTCAGAAAAGCATAGCTGATCATTCACTGCTGGGGATACAAGCTGATATACCTCCACTTCTTGGGGGTACCCCGGGACAGAATCTACTATACCCTAGAAAGGAGACTTGCATGCTCACACAATCCAGGCACCCACACACATCCAAGGATTCGTCCAGGAATCCACACACACACCGCACAGCCCAGCTCTGACCTTGTTGTGCAGAACAACGACATTGTGCGGGTCTGCGTTGAGCCACGTGTCCATGGCCTTGCAGATGCTGCAGATCTTCTCCAGAGCTGGCGTGTGGAGGTCAGGCCAGCCAAATTCCAGGACCTGTGGCCCAAGCCGTGGGTGAGAAGAGGACAGAAGCCTCAGAGAGCCAAGCAGGCCAGGGGGAGCAGCACACACCATGTGCCAGCACGGAGACGGCAGCCCCAGCTGCTGGCTCCTGCTGCAACTTGGCTCCTCCCTGCCCGTCAGCCCCTGGGAGGCAGGCATTTGGAAGGCAAAGGCCATAGCCCAGCACTGGAGAGCCTGGGTGAGGGTCTGGGGTCTGGCACTCACTCACCGTGGGGCTTTAGACAAGCCCTGCCCCCACTTTCAGCCTCAGTGTCCTTAGATGTGTGTAAAACAGAGGCTTGGAGCCGATGACCCCAAGGTCTCTACCACATGACTGACCTCAAAACATGCTGAGGAGCCCCCAGGCACTGTCCTCAAGCTGGCCTCCTATGGACAGCCCTGGGGCCTGGCTCAGTGGGGGAGAGAGAGAAGTAAGGGACTCCCTGATGTTCACGGCTCTTTTCCAGGCCCTGGACACACAAAGCACCCATTTGTCAGGACAGCTGAGAACGGTGTGTAGGGCACAGAGGGAAGATCTGAATAGCAATCTTCAGGCCCCTTGAAACCTGTCTAAGCTCACAGAGCTTTAAAGGAAAACTTCTGCTTGGGAGACCCAGAGACCACACCTCATCCAGCCAGTCCACTTTCAGTGGCACAACCTGAGGCCCAGAGAAGTCTGTCACCCACCCCGAGGTCACAGAGCAACAGGCTCTGAATCCAGGAGCCAGGAGCAGACGTCCATGGCCAAGTCGCACACACAATTCACTGAGCAACGGAGTAGACGCTGGAGGTGGGAAAGTCAAAAGCAGTGATTCCCAACAGTTTTCATTCTCAAAACTAAAACATCTCACCACTCCAGCCTCGCCCCAGAGATGCTGTGTACTCCCCAGAGGGGCAGACCTGGTAGAGAATCACTGCCTCAAGCTTGCTTTCTGTAATTTGCATTATGGAAACACTAGATATATTCTTTTCCATCTTACACCCGTAGGACGGCTCAATGACTTCGAATGGGTTTTTCAAACTGTCACAGCACTTTTGCCCAAGATTCCAGTGTGGGAGACCCCAGAGAGGGAGCCCTCTATTCTCCTTTCCTTCCAGGGGGAAGAGGCCCCCACCCCAAAATGGCCACTGGCTTACCTTGGCGTGGAGCTTCGTGATGTCAGGTCTCCGCTCGGAGAGGTTGAACAGCTAGAAGGAGAAAAAGAAAGTATGAGGAGGTGAGGGTGAAGAGGGCTCGGAGTGGAGGGAGAACCACTGCAAGGAAGCCCACTGGTCACACCGGGGACTGTGGTGCCATCTCTAACTTCTTCTGGAGAGACTACCCCACTGCCAGCCAGAGCACCGATGCCCTCTGCCAGCCAGGTCCCCAGCCAGGGCCAGCCACGAGCTCCCTGGACTTCCTGTGCTCACTCACTCTCTCTCTGTAATAGATGTTCTTTTCATGCATGAACATACAATAGAGTCCCATCAGACGGACGCCCACCAGCAGGAACTCAACAGGGAGATGTCCTCATGGGGAAAAAGAGGGAGGGGGAGAAAGAGAGAGATGCAGATTTAGCCACTCCCCTAGGTGAGTGGCCGTCCTAAACAGAAGATGAGACAGGGACGGAACGTGTTTCAGTTTCCTCATGCATCTCATCACACTGAACAGGAGTCCAGCAGCGTGGGATGATACGTATTGGGCCATCTCTTGTTTCCATTTCACGTTTGACTTCAGACCTCATCTCATGAAGATGCAACTTTTCTGATATCCTTCATCAGAGGGAACAAACCATCCTAACGGGCCCACTCAGACCTTTGGCATGCCTCTCCCAGCACGTGCCCTTCAATGCTTAGCCACACCCCACGCAATTCCCCCGTCTCTGGAATTCCTGCCTCTGCCTCCAACGGGGTGGGCAGAACTCCCCACCCTTATCCCAATGTCTGGGAAACTCAAAGATCACGGTGTGGTCTCCTGGGGAGAAAAGAGGACCACCCAGTCTGGAATAAGCAGGATGGGGAGAGGGGTGGCAGAGCACAGAGACCCACAGAATCCTGAAATCAGGAAGTATCTTAGGAGCTCTCTGGTCTACTTTTGCTCCCTGTAAAGGAACACATTTTGTTTTATCAGCAACGGCAACCACTCGGTCAGTATCTACCACCTGCCACCCGTGTGCTAAGGATGTTACATCTAACAGCCAGCTTAACTCTCTCAACAACCATCAGAGGTAGCCAATGTGATTAGACCCATTTTATAGATGGAAAGTCTAAGGCTTAGTGAGGCTAAGCAGCCGAGATCACGTAGTTAGTAAGAGCAAAGCCAGAATTGTTTGTTGTTGCTATTGTTGTTGTTGTTTTGAGTTGAGATATTGCCTCTGTCACCCAAGCATCGACCTTTTGGGCTCAAATGAACCTTCTGCCTCAGCCTCCCAAGTAGCTGGAGCTACAGGAACATGCCACCGTGCCCAGCTAATTATTTATTTATTTGTTTATTTATGTATTTATTTGAGACAAGGTCTCAGTATGTTGCCTAGCTGGTTTTGAACTCCTGGGCTCAAGCAATCCTCCTACCTTGGCCTCTCAAAATACTGGGATTACAGGCATGAGCCACCACACCCATCCAGAGACAGAATTCGAACCCAGGACTTTCTAATGCTTAAAGCCAGTCTGGTTGTTTTTTTTTTTTAATTGAGTCCAGGTCTTGCTATATTGCTCAGGCTGGTCTTGAACTCCTGGGCTCAAGTGATCCTCCCGCCTCAACCTTCCAAAGTGCTGGGATTCCAGGCATGAGCCACTGCACCCAACCAAAGTCAGGCTTTTAACAACGCCCTAACATAGGGAACAGATGGGTCTCTATCGTGGTTGAATAGTGCCCTCAAAAATTCATGTCCACCCAGAACTTCAGAATGTGACCTTATTTGGAAATAGTGTCTTTGCCGTGTAAGTAGTTAAGGATCTAGAAGATATGAGATCAACCTGTATCTAGGGTAGACCCTAAATGCAATAACTGATGTCCTTATAAGAAGAGGAGAGGACACACAGAGAGACACAGGGAAGGGGCTACGTGAACACGGAGGTGGAGATGGGAGTGACGTGGCTACCAACTGAGGAATGCCAAGGACTGATGAGGGTCCCCAAAAGCCAGGATGAGGCAAGGAAGGATTCTTCCCTGTGGAATTCAGAGGGAGCCTGGCTCTGCCAGCACCTTGATTTCAGACTTCAGTCCCAGCCCCCAGAACTATGAGAGAATAAACTCCTGTTATTTTAAGCCACCAACTTTAAGGTCCAGTCATCCCCTAGCATCCAGTGGGGATCTGGGCTCGGGATCCCTCTACCCCACCCCACCCCCTAGATGGATGCTCAGGGTCCTTATATAAAATGACATGGTCTTTGCATGTAACCTATGTACATCCACCCGTGTATGTTCAATCATCTCTAGATTACATATAACACCTAAGCAAGGAAAAGGCTGCGTAAATAGTTGTACTGTATTGTTTGCATTTGTGGTATTTTGTATTGTTGCATTGTTATCTATGGTTGGGTTCTTTTCTGAATCTTTTCAACCTTTTGAGTCCACAGATGTGAACCCATGGATAGGGAGAGCCAACTGGACTTTGCTACAGCAGTCCTAGGGAATGCATGCAGTCTCCATCCCTCCTCAAACACCCAGGGGCAGCTGCCAAAGGTGGCTGGTCCAGCCCACATGTGCCTCCTTGTACAATGAATCTGGGCCCTCCTCTGGGGCCAAGGCTAGGTCAGCCTTTCCACACTAGAGACCACTGCTGGCACCTTCTGCACGTGACAGGTGACTCCTCTGGGACAGGCCACAGAGGCAGAGAGCAGCAACACAGGGTGCTTTCAGACGCATGTTGCCACAAATCTGTCCCAAGACTTCTCAGAGGCCATGCTAGTTCTGCCACTCCCTGACCCTATGACCTTAGGCAAATAATCCCATCTCTCTGTGCTCCAGGGCCCTGCCTTCTAGCACTGCTGAGAGGGTTAAGTATGTGGAACACATAGCCCATAGCAAGTACTCGATCACCTAAACTTCGGCTGTGACTCTCTTCTCCTGGCCAACACACACACACACACACACACACACACACACACACACACACACACACACACAAACACACACACACGTGCGTGTATGTGCACGGTTCCAGATGCTGCCTTCCAGTTCCAGGTATACTCCTTAGAACAGATCTGGGCTGGACAGCAAGTGAAGATTCAAGTCACAGGAGCTGCGGGAGAAGGACAGGTGAACACAGGGAAGAGGCCTCTCAGGCATAGGCGCAGGTGACAGGAACACCAGCAATGAAGAGGTGGTGAGCGGATGGAAGGACAGAGGGCGCTGGGCAGGCGGGCAAGAGGCCCCATCCTCACCAGGTAGCTGCCTCCATGCTTGGACTTGAGCATCTGGGCCACCTCGCGGAGGTTGCTCCGGAAATTCTCCTCATTGGCTGTGCTGGGGAAGGAGACGGCGATGATCCTTTCTGTGACGTACACCAGGTCCAGCTCACAGCTGTCCTCCATGGTCCGGCTCACACTCATGTTTCTGGGGAGACAGCAGGCGGCGGAGGGTCCAGATCAGAATCCAGCCCCCCCGAGGGAGCCCCAGATAGCTGCACCCCCTACACACCATGCATGACTCCTTGTGCAACCCGGGGTGCTTGGCCGCACCCCAGCCCAGAGCCAAGGCCAGAGATTCCCCCTGGCAAGGCCAAGTGCAGCCGGCCTGGAAGCGCCAGAAGGAGCAAGCTGGGCCGGGCTGGCAAGGACCTCAGAGCGTTTCAGAACCAAACCGTGATGACACCAGTTCTTAGCTCCCATCAGTCCTTTGGGCACCTCCTTCGACTGGGATTCCTGAGCTCAGGGCTAGAGCCAGACCGGCCAGAAACCCAGAACTCTGACTCCCAACACCCTGTGACTGCCTGGTCAGGCAGCAGTCTCCCAAAGGGCCCCGGATTGCTCTGGAAGAGGAAGGAGAGGCTGCCCTGGGCGCTTTCCAGCACCTAGGAGCGGAGCCTTCGCTGCCCTCCCTTGCTCTGGAGCTGTGGAGTGGGCGGAGGCCTCTGGGGGAAGGGGGTAGCTCAGGTGACAAGCTCACCCAGGTTCCAGGTAAGCCGGGCCACAGTGCGCATTCCAGCCCTCCCAGAGACAGGCCGACTCCTGCCCTTTGTTCCCTGGCTCTCTCCTTGCCTCTGGCAGCTCCCACTGCCTGCCAGGGCTGCTTCTTGGCAGTGGCCTCCCTGATTTCTAAGGGCCCAGGAAATGAGAGGGCACCGAGTCTTTGCTGCCGTGGTGGCCAGCGGCTGCCAGTACCATCTGTATGCCTCGGTGAGAGGGGGAGTCCCTGGGTTGGGCAGCTCACCCTCCTTCAGCCACTGGGGGAGTGGGAAGGGGTTTCCATCTTCTCATCTCTTCAAGGAGAAAGGTCCAGGATGCCCATAGGGGGCGACCCATGCGTGGTTTCTGGAAGCACCTTCACCCTCCCAACCCCAACACCTCTCTACCCATCAGCCGTCTCCTGTATCTCACTTCCCCCTCTAAGCAAGGTGGACAGCACTCACATTTCGTGTTGCTAACCTTTCACGATAGACAGCAGCCAGACTGAAGGGGCAACGGGAAGAACACCACCAGGATGCTTAAAAGTGACCAGAGGAGCCGGGCTCGGTGGCTCAGCCTGTCATCCCGCGCCTTTGGGAGGCTGAGGTGAGTGGATTGCCTGAGCCCGCGGGTTCGAGACCCGCCTGGGCAGCAAGACCTCATCTCTACAATAAATAAAAAAATCAGCTGGGCGTGGTAGCGCGCGCCTGTAATTCCGGCTACTTGGAAGGCTGAGGCGGAAGGATCGCCAGAGCCCAGCAGGTCGAGGCTGCGGTGGGCGGGAGCGGCCACTGCACTCCAGTCTGGGCGACAGAGTGAGACTCCAACTCAAAAAAAAAAAAAATGACCAGAGGAACACTACCCAGGTGTTTAAAAGTAGGGGGGGCCCTCTGGCACTGGAGTGTATAAGCCCCAAACCATGGAGGAGCTTAGAAGAACCCAACCCTCCACCAGGGTTAAATCTGAGCCCAGCTGTGTGGATGGGAGTGGAGATAGGGTGAAGGTGGCCTCTCTGGTGGGAGGACAGGGGCCTGAGGGGGAAGGGGACCAGTGGCCTGAGGTGAGAAGCCCAGTCTGAGTTTAACCCTCTAAGTCCCAGCCACCTCCCATCCCTATGATAAGCTTCTCACAGCAGCCACTGGGGTAGGGTTCCTATCTCAGGCACTGCCTAACCAAGGACAGTTCTGTAGGTGATGACCAGTGTGACAAGAAGCCACATGCACATATACCCCCGGGAAGCCTCAGCTAACTCAGAGCAACTCCCACTCCCCAGCGGCCAAAACTCCTCTTTGTCCTGGCTCCAAGGAAGAGGCTGAAATGTCAGCAAGCCCAGCTCCTCTTGTTCCAGCTGGGAGGGGAGTGAGAGGGGACGTGGTGGTGAGAAGCACAAGTGAGACACAGCCCATCCTGGGCGCTGACCTGACCCTGTCCTCAGGCTGGCTCCCAGGAGGAACGCAAATGGCTGGACAACCTCAGCCTCACCCCCTGCACCCAACTGCCCCAAGTCTCTGTTCTCAGCCATAGGGGAAGGAGGGGATACTCTGAAGAACCAACTCCGGACTGTAGGCAGCTGGCAGCTGGGCCACAACCCACCAGGGCGTCAGCTGCCCAGCAGGGCTGGCCTTCCGACTCACCTCAGGAGTCTCAGACGGTGGAGGTGAGACAGGGAGGGAAGGGACTCTGGATCAGCAAGACACAAAGTCCCCTGGGCATTCCTTCCCCCCAGCCTCTGCCAGCCCGGCCAGATAGATAACTTTCCTTTTATAAACAACCCTCCCAAACCAGAAACCCCTGTCTGCAGAGGGGAATGAAGTCCAACACAGGCTCTGATGCCTGCCAGTCCTGAATGCAGATCCAAGTGCTGCTGTCTCCGCGTGACTGTGTGACCTTTTTCACAAGTCACCTCATCTCTCTGAGACTCCGTTTCTTCATCTGCCAAATGGGAATAAAATACTTAACCTTGTGGGGTCGTTGCCAGGACTAGATGAGCTCATGCAGGTAAATAAGGAAGCCAGCTCAAGGCCTGGCCTGGACCTCAAAATGCGACCACTGCCAAGTGACATCTGCCTGCAATCTCTCCCATGACTCGCATGTTGGCCAACACCACTGCTGGGGGTTTTATGGCTTCAGTCCCAGGGACCCAGAGGTAAGACTGGACAGGAACACATCAAGATCCTATGGCCTATACCCCGGCCCCTCCTCACATGGGCCAAGCATACCTGATGGACTGGGGACGAGGCTGGACACTTGGGGTGACCCTGGTGGAGCCCTGGGAAGGAAAGAGGAGAAGAATTAGGCAGAAGCAGGCAGGATGGCGGGAGGAACACAGCACAGCGCTGACCACAGCAGCAGTCAGGGCCGTGGCCAAACACACCTCTCTTCTCCTCTGCCAACATCCCGGTCCCGCCACCCTAGGCCCCCAGCAACACTACCCGAAGCCGATGCCAATTCCACCTGAGTGTGCCTGCCTGTACTCGAGCCAGAGTACGGAGGGAGGAATGGAAGAAATCCCAGGCTGAGGAACACACCCCACCTGGCTGGCGCCATCTGCACTGAGACACACTCAACAGTTACTGGGTCCATGAAAACACATTTCGCCTTGATTCACTGGCCATCGCGATAGTAACCTCGCATGCAGGATACAGACTGCAACCATGCAAGAACGGGAAGCATGAGAGGGATGGTGCCCCTCTGTCTAGCCCAGAAGCTGTCTTCTCTGGCCACCAGCGTCCCACGCTGCCCTCCTTGAAAGCCGCAACATGGAGTCATTCAATCGAGTTTAGAGACTAGAACAGCCAGGCATGTCATAGAGGAGCCAAGACAAGGTCTAAGGCAATGAGCCATGCTCCTGAGGACCTGCTGCCTGTTGTCTCACCTGCTCCCATCTCCATGGTTGTCAGCTTGTGCCAAACGTAGGCGAATGGACCCAAGTGGGTGCCCAAAACATCCCGGGACAGCAGGATGGTGCAACAGTGAAAGCACAGACCCCAAAGTTTGGACTCCGTGCTCCTGCTGGGCAGGCTTGCCAGTTAATTAACCTCTCTGAGCTTCTTATAATGTCACACATCAAATGGGACAACATCAGAGGTTTGCAATAAGGACTCAAAGCAATTTTGCACATAAGGCACTTTGCATCATACCTGGCATTCAATAAACTACAGCTGTTGTTTCTGTTGTTGCTGTTGTATCAAGTACGACGAAAAGGGTAGTTACTTAGACGGTAGTTACAGCCAAACACTCGCCTCCATGGAAAATCAAAACTCTGCATCACAGCTACCACCAGCAGCCGTCCATCCTTCCAGCCACCTCACACAACGCAGAATCCAAACGCCCAATTTCTAGATTCCTGGGTCCAGCCTGAGTCCTCTGAGCCCACCAACATGTTCCAAATGCCCATGTGCCTCTCAGAGACTGGCTTTTCCTAGTCACCAAGTTGCAGCCGCTTCTTGGAGAAGACAGGACCACGGTCCGCCAAGGAGGAGAGAGACTGAGGTGCAAGTCCCTGGAAAGCTGATGCCCAGGCAGGATTCACACTCCAACTTGATCACAGGGACCCCAAAAAGAGGAACCCCTTCCAGCTCTCCCCCGGCCCTGCTGCATCTACAAGGCAGGACAGGTGGGCTCAGAGGCCCAGCTCCCAATCGAGCTCCAAATCAGGGCAGCGCCACTAAGAAGAGGACTCTCCATCAACTGCCCTGGGAGGAGACTCTGTCCAGAGTCCCTGTCTGAGCTGCCCCTGAGCTCTGAACAGCTCGACTGCAGCAGCCGTGGAAGAAGGAAAGAGCCAAGTGGGACTGTTGGGGCGGGAAGTTTCTCAGTCTCCACAGCTCTTTGGCCCTGAGAACTCGGGTTTGCATGAGTCAGGCTGTCAGGCTGGGGGCAGAGGAGTGAGTGGTGGGGAGGCAGTGGGGAGGAGCAGGAGTGGTTTTGTTTGGTTTTCAAGCCCCAAACCAGAAGCTTCCAAAACTACCCAGCCAGAGGAAGGCAGAAACCCAACACTTCATCCATCTCCATTCCTCTGGTCCCTGATGAAGAGTCCCTGAATCTCCCCAGGCCTAGGCCCTGCTCCAGGCCCCAGGGCCACCCTGCTATAAATAGCCCCTTGGGTTTCATCTGTTGCTGAGCCATAGCCACTTTGGGAGGAAGTCACCCCAGCTGCTTCGAACAACTGGAAGCCACAACTGTAGCCAAGGCGTGAGGTGTGGTCAGGAGCACAGGGCCAGGCCCTGCAAGCCACAGGGAGACGACAGGACACATTGAGATGGGCTCGGCAAGGGAACTGGGGAGCCAAGGAGAGCCGAGAGCCTGCAGAGGTGCAGGGGGTAAGAAGGCAGAGCAGGCGGGAGGCCTGGTTCCTGCTTCTCCACCGCCCTCTTCCGAACGTTACAACACTCCACATTCCTCAGCCTCCCCACCCCAAAAAAGCCAGGGAAGATAAATAAAAACTTGGCCCAAACAGAGTCTGGCCAGGCCGCCTCCAGAGGTGATAAGGCAAAGTCCAAGCCCGCTCCGCTCCATCGGGCTGGCCAGGGACGGAGAGGCAGGGGGAGGAAGCCGCCCTGGACAGTGACCCCACTACAGGGGACAAGGGACACGAACAGCTGGACTGTCATCCCCTGATGAATCACTGGGCTGCCTGCTCACTGACGGGGCTTCCTGTTTTCTGCAAAGTTTGGGGGCATGTGACCCTTGCTGGCAGAGAGCAGACATGCACGGTGACACGTCTGAGTGTCGGTGCACACGGATGCACAGAGAGGACACAGAGGACAACACACTGGCAGGGGCAGGTGGCAGCGTGTGAGCAAACACACCCTGATGCGCCAAAAAACACAGGTGACCTCACAGGTGAGGCTGGAGTCAGGCGCCTTTTGAAGCATGCCTAATCTCGCAGGCTTTTACAAGAGGATGCGAGGGTGTCCAGGCAGCCGGTCATCCT